ACAAATATATATATATATATATATATATATATATATATATATATATATATATATAAAAGTATTATATATATATATATATATATATATATATATATATATATATATATATATATATATATATATATATATATATATATAAAAGTATTATATATATATATATATATATATATATATATATAAAAGTATTATATATATATATATATATATATATATATATATAAATATATATATATATATATATATATATATATATATATATATAAAAGTATTATATATATATATATATATATATATATATATATATATATATATATATATATATATATATATATATATATATATATATATATAAAAGTATTTTATATATATATATATATATATATATATATATATATATATATATATATATTTATATATATGAAATTTGTGCTTAATATTAGATTCGTTATGTGAAACTGGCATTTCGTACAGTAATTGTTTTTGTTGTATGCTGGATGCCATATTCCACTTGCTGTTTAACAAACATTATGGGAAAAAGTTGTGGAGATTTCGAGAGTATTTTGTTCAATTTAGCTTTCATAAACTCTGGGCTAAATCCCTTTATATATTTTGTTCATATGAGAAGTGAAGTTTTCCGGTTTATGTTTAAAAAGTATATGCCGTTATCAATTTTTAAATGGATGAAAAAAGAAGTTAATTTTGGAATTAACGATGTAACTTCAACCTTTAAAAGAAAAAGTATTGTTACGATATTTGATAAATCGAGGCAAACCAGTATTATTAGTATTGACGTAAAAAGCAAGCTTCCAGACAATTTGAATCAACCTCAAAATAATATATTTTTGTCTGTTCCAGCAACGTAACTATATTCAGAAACATAGAATTTACAAAAATCCCTGTCAATAAGTATTGATTTCGTGTCAATAAGTATCAATAGATCAATTATTATTATAAGGTTTACCTATTTTTTATAACTTAAAATTTTTATATATTAAAATAAAAAATGATTTTTATTGCATCTTTTCTTAGAAATATTCCAGGTTTTTATTAGTTATAGAAATGAAGTACAACAGTTGTTCTTCAGATCAGAAACATAATAATAGCAGTTGTACGTTAGATTTACTACATTTATTACAGAAATTTTACCAAATGTTTTACTACACAAATTTTGTAGTAATATTTTCTACTTTGTACAACTTTTCAACAATTATTGGAAACCAAACTTAATTCTTTTAATTTCTATAATTAATTTTTTGCGTATGTTTTAGAGATCAAAGTTTTTAATATCTTAGGCTTGAAAATTTATTTTTACTATTAGTTTTCGAGTTATATCCATGTCCACTTTGAATATTTTTCCATGTAAACTATACCTCTCTTAAAACCCTCCTTTTCCACCTTCATCCTGCTTCTTTTGTTTTGAAGAGGTTGTAAATTTTTCATGGTTATAACATTAAAAGGCTAAATGTTTGTTTGGTTAAATTTCATATATATTTATCTATTTTAATTTTGTTTAAAAATAACTTCCTCATATTTAGGAGAGTGATGTCTACATTTTAGAGATTTTCTATTCGCAAGTCATTATTTTAAAAAAAAAAAGCGCTTGGTATCATGATCCCACGAAATCTTTTGGTGTAATGATGTTACTTTCAATGGTTGTCACATATGTATAAACTCCAGAATGGTTGTATAGTCCGCAGGAGAAAATCCAATTATAAATTTTGCATAAAACTGCAATAAAATGAAATTGAAAATGAAAAATAAATTTGAATTGAATGAAAAAATGAAAAATGAATTTGTGATTGTTACTGTTCTAATCTGTGTGGCCGTGGCGCAGTGGTTAGAGCGCTTGCTTTAGAAGCAGGAGATCCAGGTTCGAAACGAGCTGTGGACATATTTTCGCGTCACGGTAAGGAAAGAGGCGTGAACTTCCTGGTTAAATGCACATCCGCGGTGCTCTGTGACAAGACCGTTAGGTCTTCTTGGGGCACCTAAATAACAAATAATAATAATAATAATAATAATAATAATAATAATAATCTTAGTAGAATTGAAGAAAGATAGGGGTTCAAGTTCCCTCTAAGCTTTTTGATTTCTGATGAAATTAAAAATAAAGATTTGTGTGCAGCACAATATAAGACTGTACAATTTTGATGTGAAAATCTAGAATCAAGTCTTAATCAAATTTTTCAAGTTGGATTGTTGTAAAAAACACTTAAAGTTTGATCAACTGAGCAAAAAATTTGAAAGCCATTAAAAAAAATATCAAAGTTGTAACTGACAATAAGACTTATACTGTAGTCTATAGTTAAACGAAGTTTAACTATACATATTTTAAACGTTAAACTTAGTTAAACGTCAACTTAAACGTTTATTTTAAACCTTAAACTTAGTTAAACGTTAAATTAAACGTTTAGTTAAACGTTAAGTTAAACGATGTCTATTCTAAAGTTTAAAAAAATTTTAACAAACTTTCAAAAAAACGTTTTAATAAAAAAATGATTAATAAACTTTACTATAGACTAATGCATTATATGTTACACAGTTGGAAAAAAAAGAGACTAGTACCTAGTAACTGTACGTTACTGATTGCCATTTCTGAATATCTCAAAGAAAACTATAGCAATGTCAAGTAAGTTTTGAATTTGTTGAACATCCGTTGACTTAATTAATTTTTGTACTTTGATACAAATCTAGCTAAGAAAATTGCGGTCAAAAAGCATATTTTAGTGCGCACACATGTTCATATTATATAGTAGAAAGATTGTTATTGTGACACTGTATCAAAAGATCTTAATAAGTACGGGTCTTTAAGAACTTTTGACTTAATCAGGAGAGATTTTTTTATTATTATTTTATTTTAATTTTTTGTTTTAGGTACTCCAAGAAGACCTAATAGTTTTATCACAGAGCACCACATTTAACTAGAAAGTTCACGCTTCCTCCCATACTGATGGCGCAAAGTATGTCTTGAACGCGCTTCAAAATCTGGACTGTTTGTTTCTAAAGCAAGCTCTCTAACCACTGACTGTGTCTTGGCCGCTTATGAAAAATTTTAGGCATTTAGTGTAGCTGATGCATATATCATGAAGACAAGTTCAGAAATTTATTCCATGCATCTATTATCAAGGCCTTTGATAAAACTTTGTCATTGATATGGTTCCATCAATGGAGCTTCAATTTTTGCTTGGAGTTGTAAATCATCTTCTTGAAGATATTTTCTCAGCATCATTCTTTGCATCCACAATTCTCCTCAATTGTTTGAAAATGCATTACTTTTTTTCGGAATTTATATTCCAGCAATTATTAGTTGAAGCACTATCATCCCACCAAAGGGTTTTTTAAGGCCATGATATCAAGCGCTTATGCTCTTTTTTTTCAACTGTGAGGTTCGGAGTATAGAGCTTATTTTTAAGTTTCATAACTTAAATACCAAAATATCCTCCCAATTAGTTTGTATTAGACCAACAGAGATTATGACAGACAATATCCGATTAAGACAGACAATATGAGATTATAGTAGACTTAACCATAGTAAAAAAAGTCATTATTACCTAAACTTAAACTGTTAAATTTTTCTGAAAGAAAAAATTAAGAAATTATTATAAGTTTTAACCTTGACTAACGCCGCTTTGAGGAAAATTGAAGACCTCGGGGCAAAAACGACGTAACTCTAACTTTTAGTTGAGTTTTAGATTTATTACAAAATATTACTAACTATAACGAAATATTACTAATTATAAGACGCTCTAACAGTTGATACAAAAATAATTTAGATTGAAGCACTCAAGATACCATTTAACTAAGAATTTGACTGAGCGATACTTGTTCCCTACATAGTTCATTTATTCCCATACAAAGTTAATCTGTTTTTTCATTCTCCTAAACAATTTGTATAATGGAGTTAAATCGTTTTTGCACCGAGGTCTTTAATTTGAACGCGGTTTTTCCAGAGACTAAGTTAGAGGACCCTGCGGTGTAAATTAGAAGATCATGGGACGAGTCAATGAGTAATGATGTTAAAACAATTGTTAAATAATGATAAAACTGAAGATCATTTCTAAACAATTAATGAAGTGATCATTCCTGAAAAATTATAATGTATATTTTATTATGTTTGAAAAGAATTTAAGTCGTTAATTTCTTATATTATTGTAATTTATTTTATAAAAAAATAAATTGATAAAAATATTAATATTGACCTATAATATTTACAAAATCATTATCTCGATAATAATTTATGGTTTATCAAACATTTTTTGACGGTTAAAATAATTATTTGAACTGTTAAAAAAAATATAAGTATTTTGTTTCAACTTTTTCAAGAACATAACATTTTTAAATTTTAGATTATAATTGTTTTTTTGAATTTTATATTCTTTATGTTTTTGGAGGTTTGAATTCTTAAAACTTTTTGAGTTTTGAATTTTTATCTTATTTTGCATTTTGAATTAATAAATAAAAAAAGTACTTAGACGGTTTTAAGTGATTTTATAATTTTAAAGATTTATTTAAGAGATATAATTTTATAGATAATTATCTATAATTATAGAAATGATTTCTTTTTATAGAAATGTAACATTTTTCAAGTAATTATTATAACCATTTATGTTTTAAAAATATGCTAAAAATAAGGTGTTTTTTAGATTTATTTCGTTTAGAATACATTGTATTCCCTAACTATTTGACCACTTTAATATTTAATATTTTTACTCAATTTAAAAGGCCTGGTTCCTTAGCTAGGCACAGTTTTAACTATACAACTGCGATATTTAAAATCGATAAAACGTTTTAAATCAATAAATAGTTTGTTTTAACGTGTTTTAACGTGTCAGTTTGACCATATTCAAAATCTTTATAATTTAACTAATTTAAAAGTACTGATTATAATTTAAAATTACACATCATATTGTAAAGCATTTAGAAAGGACTTAAGTTTTTTACGGCAACAATACATCGATGACGTTATTTTCCTAATTTATATCATGTTGATTTTTATGTCTTTGACAACTTTAAAGATCAAATTGTTGTTTTGCTTTGATGATAGGGATTCGACATAGTTGAGTATAAATATATTTATGTTTTTGAGAACACGATGTATGTTTCGTTAGCATTATTAACACTGCTTCATTTCGAAAACTCAGAACTGTTTTACGTTGAGAGGTATTCATCAAAAAATGATGGCGATTTTCTTTATTTAAACGAAAAGCAATGCAACTTTGTCACTAATAGCTCGTGGGTAGCTAAATTTAATGTCTGTGTATGTTTTGCTGGAAGCACTTTTCATATTTTTAAGGACAAAATGGGGTGCTATAAGTCTTCAAATGAATTTGAATCAGGTAAAATTTACTGAAACTAAACAAAAAAAACTTTTTTTGTATTTTTGTTAATGTTTTTTTTTTCTTTCTCGATTTTTAATAAAATAATAATAATTTACTGCAACAGAGTAATCAAACAATTTTGTTTGTTGCAAGTTCAGGCAATCTTAAGGGTTTTAAGCATGTATATTTGATACCTTAAGTTATTTGTTTCAAATGTGTGACTATTCAATTTTTTAGCAAATCGTTATTGAAAAAATTACCAATTTATTCCATTGGAAAATCATGAAAAATTTTGAAAATAATAAAAATGCATTACGGGTATAATAAAAAAAAAAAAAGATAAAATTTATTTAACTAAAGAAAATTGTTAACTGTTACAGGCCTTGTCACGAGATTTTGCTGAGTAACAGGAAATCGTAGCACATTTGAAACGTCATAAATGTAACTCAGCTTTAATATTTATTATATTAGGATAAGTTGCGTCATTGGTGTATTCTAAAGTACCGCATTGTAATTAAATATGTTTTCAAAGCCATGTTTTAATGCTTTAAAACAAAAGTAGAATAAATAACCTTATCAAAATTACAAATTGAATCTGAATTTGATATTAAAAAAAAGGCATGTTTTTGTTATTGCTTATTTCTTACCAATATATTTTCTTATATACATTATTGTTATCATATTTTTGGTTTATTCAACCTGTACTTTTTAAAAAAGACAGCTTCAAGTCTGTATTTAGAATATTCCAAAACTGGTTTTGCCGAAATCAAAACCAGAAGTTCTAAATTTAGATTATCGAAGTCGAATTCGGAACCGGAAAATTGGTGGTAGAGCTTGAGTGCTAAATAAATCGGTTTGCACAACTATTACAAAGTAATAAAAAAAATAATTGATCACAAATTATTACGAAGTAATTAAAAACTATAATTGTAAGATTATTAATTTAAAACTAATAATTAAAAGCATATAAATTTTAGCTAATAAAGAAAACAAAATGAACTAGAAACAAGTTTTTTACGAATTGTTGTTAGGCTGTTGACCTACACTGCCTCACAAAGGTTACCTGTTGATAACGTATTTCTGATTTTGCGAAAGAATTTGACAAAGTTCCTCACAAAAGGTTATTTATAAAGCTTGAATTCTATGGGAATAAAGACAATGTCTTAAATTGGATAAGTGTCTTTCTTTCTAGAAGAACATAACGTGTCATTCTTAGAAATGTTGCATCAGATTGGAAACAGGTTACTAACAACATTCCCCGAAGATCAGTTCTTCGTTCTAACCTATTTATAGTCTACATTAACAATTTACCAGAACATATAAGCAATACAAATAATTACAAAATGCATACAGATAATACAAAGGTCCTCAGTGAAGTTAGCACTTTAGAAAGCAAACATTGCCTGCAAGTTGATATTGATAACCCAAATATGGCTCATGCGACTAAATATCAAAATATATAAAATTATGCATATCAACCAATCCAGATATGTCCCTCACATCTATTTCATCAATGATAAAAATTCCAATTGTGGAATCAAAAGAATCTAGTAAGAAACAAGAGCATTAGAAAAAGATCTTGGAGTTCAACTCTCTAATGATCTAAAGTACAATAATCAAGCTTTCACTACTGCTGCTCAGGCTAATAAAATCTTATGTATGTTAAAACACACCTTTATTTGAAAAGATATAACAGTCTGGAAAAACCTCTATACAACTTACGTATGTCCACATCTATAATAAGCTGTGACAGCCTGGTGCCCTTATTTTAAAAAAGACGTTACTGAAATTGAATAAATTACAACGCCGTGCAACAAAAGTACTTCATGAGTTAAAGCGCCTTGATTACTAGGCAATATGTGCTAAACTTGGACTCAATTAACTAAGTGACACAGAAAAACGTTGTGACCTTATCTAAAAATTCAAAATTGAAAACAAAACTGATTTAATCAATTCGCATTCAGACTTAATATTCACAACTCCTATCTATGGTCATTAGGGTAATTCATACTTAATCAACTTTTGAAAATAAAGTTAGTCCTACCTGGAATGGTTTGCTACCACTATAAAAACAATTTTAGGCGCAAAATTATTTGATGTCAAATGATTTTAGAGGTCCAATTTGTGTATAAAAACATATCAAACTTCAGAGGTCCGGCAGGGACCTTTAAAATAAGCCAACTTATCTTTTATATGGTATATTTACTTCTATATGGCATATGCTGTATCATCTGATACAAAATTCTCCAAGCATTGTTCCTGAATTGCCAAAAAAATTTACTCTCATCTTTACGTGCTTTTCAAAACTTTTATCAGTAACAATCCTTATCTCTTGTTAAAAGCTTACAAAGTCGATGTGGACCTTTTTTAGAGTATTGTACCCCAGTGTGGAGCCTTTTTTTTCTAAAAGATATTCATTTTATCAAAAATGTTCAGACATATTTCACCAGAATTACCTGTAAAAGATACCATATTTCTTATTCTTATTAAGTATTGATACTAATTCTTCTAAATCTCAGTTCTCTTGTATGCCGTAGAGTTAAATTTTATCTTTCAAAACGATCTCGTCGACTTACCTTTTTACTATCTCTTTACTTTTTCCAATTCTCACTACAATACTAAATGTCACGCTAAAAAACTTATATCGCGCAATATATGTAAAAATGATTGTCGTAAATTCTTCTTCAGCAAAAGAACTGTAAAATTATGGAATTCTTTACCTCACATTTTTGATTCTCCTTAATTATCAATGCTCAAAAGAAAGATAAATAATTATGATTTACAACGCAATTACGTAATGTATTAATTTGTATTGTAATTATCTCTGTCTATTTTTATATTAGTGACGTTACCTAAGTGTAATCTTGTGATTACCTGTCTCACTTTTTTGTATTTAATTTTAATGCAAATAAACATTATTATTATTATTATATTTTGGATTAATTATTAATGGGACCAAAAATAATAATGGTATTTTTTATTCCACGTGATTTGGAGAAAGTGCCAACAAAAACCGGATTTTTACGCAAAATGACGCATTACCCAGTAGAAAATCGTAACGATAAAGACAGCAATTTGGCTAAGAGAATTGCTAGCTTTTTTAAGTTAGCGAAAAGCTATCGATGTTTGTTAAAGATAAAGACAGTGATTTGACTACGAGGACAGCTAGCTTAACAAGTTAAGACTCACTAGCAATTGTAGCTAACGTTGTATTGTAATAAAATCGCTTTTTAAAAACTAGATAAGTAGCTATCAACCAACTATAGATTTTTAGATATTTTGAAGCCAGCTACAAAGCTACGATATGTGGCTAGCGACATATTGCTACAAAATCGCAATGTTGAAAGTTCAATTATTCTCATAATTATAATAGACTCAATACTGAAAGTTGATACTAGAAATAAGCATTATTAACCTTTATTTAGAAATGGGCATGTTCCCCACCCTCACCTGAATCTCGGGTATTTCCCCCCCCCCTCCTTCCTCCGTCCTTTGTTTTTTATTGGAGGGCAACGCCCGCCAAAATTATTATAATTATCTATTTTTTATTTATTTTTAATCAAAATACTGTTTTAACTAAAATTTTGAAAAACCAAAATGGCCAGATCACCAAAACTTAGAACAAGGACATATCTTTTGGAAGAAGAAGATCTTAAAGAAAACCTACCAGAAATAATGTTTTCAACACATAAAGACATTATTTTCCACTTTCAGTTAAGAAGATCTGGTGACAAAATAACTCCAACTCCAAAAAGCTGATTGCTTGTACCATTGGACAACAAACAGCAGAATGTTTTAATCTTGATAGCTCTCCTGAAAACTTTATTCTATTTGCAGTTAAGAAACCTTGGATAGACGAAGGATAAAAAGATAAGATACTCACTGACCTTTTTATAAGGTAGGCTAAACAAAATCTAATTCATATTAAAGGGATAGGTTACCATAAAATACACTACTAAAATTTAGTATAATTTTAATATTTTATAAACCTTTACATATACTATTACAGTAAGCGTTTCACTGATCTAATCAACAGCTGGGAGAGTTTAAAAAAAAGAAAGTGTAAGAACACAAAAGAAGCGCAAAAGAACTCAAAATGCTAGACAAGCGTTCAAAAAAAAAAGGAAAGAAATTTTTCTGGATTGTTAAATCAAATATCCAAGATATTCTAAGGAAGATTAACCTCAATAAGGAATTGTGTTGAAATTTATGTTACTTGAAAGTCATTTCAATTTCATAGGGTTCGGAAATTTACATGCATGGATGCATGCGCATGTTAAAAATGCGCATGCATGCGCATGTAAGTAATGATTTGCATACATTTGAATCATATACATTTAATTAGAAAATCGTTTCTCATTAGAAAAAGGCTATAATGAGTCAAATCGAAGTCGCAAAATATTTAACCGACTACAATCGTCAAACTAATTATGGCAAGTGCAAATTATGTGATAAACGTGTCCAGTGGTCCAAAGAACGTCTTGCAGCACACAAGAGATCATCCTGTCCAAATGCCAGTCTCGAAGAAAAACGACTGTTTTCGAAACGCAAACCAGAATCACCAGCACATCCTTCCACATCCTCTCAAAATGAACACACTCAACCGATGCAAGCCTCACAAGAATCGCTTTCACATGTAGCTGACACAACAAATGGAGAATGGAAGGCAGATGTTGACATGAAATTATCAAACTACTTCTATAGAACTGGCATTTCTCTACGACTAGTTGAATCTGATGCATTCAAGGATTTCGTTAAGGCGCTCAATCCAGCATACGCAGCTGCTATGCCGAGTGCAAAGACCTTATCAGGACCGCTGCTCGATAGGCACTTTAATAAGTGCTCTGCTGCTGTCGATGAAATCATCCAATCTCACGGTAATCTAACATTGATGTCAGATGGTTGGACAAACATCAGAGGTGATCACATCGTTAATTTCTGCGTGAAGGCACCGGGTCAAAAAGCTATTTTTTATTCATCTATCGATACCTCCGGAATCATTCAGAACTCAGTTGCAG